GACAGACGGGGAGCTGCTCCATGACCTGCCCGATATGGCCCTACAAACCCTAAGTGACCGGGTTGCCTGTGTACACACAGCTTCCTCGTGACTTCGCCAAAGAAGCTTGGAATCAAATACCACTCCTAGGTATTTGAACTCCGACTCTCTCTACAGCCGGAGCGCACACGTAGATTGTGTGCAAATACTCCAGCTTCTGTATCACAGTAACGCACCAGCCGCAGACTATATCACAAAGAGTTCCCTCAAACATACCTCTAGCGATGATGACAATATCATCGGCATAAGCCTGGACACCAATTCCCTGACGAAGCAGCTCATCAAGGAGTCTATCCGCCATAAAACTCCACATTAACGGGCATGCCCTGGCCACGCAGGGTGGGGTTCTGTCTCCGCAGAAGACAGCTGAAGACAGCAGTCTCTGCAATTAGACATCCATAGAGAGGTGTTATCATCCACGTCCGTACGCCTCAGGGCGCTCGCAATCGGCTCATGAAGTGTTGTCGAAGGCCCCGTCGATATCCAGGATCGCGCATAGCACCGCCTCTCCCTGTTCTATTGTGCTCTCTAGGGTACTAGCAAGGCGGAACAGAGCGATCTCTGTCGACCTCCCAGCCCGATACCCATGCTAACAATCGCTCAGCGGACTCCTCGCCAGCACCCCCTCCGGACATAATTACCAACTATTTTCTCCATCGTCTTCAATAAGAACGATGTTAGGCTAATCGGTTTAGGAGGGTGGCTAGAGTTGTCTTTATCCCACTTTGGGAATAAAGACAACCCTAGCCACCCTCCAGGACTCAATAATGTATCCGAGAGCCAAGCTACTCCTAAATATTCTTATTAAGAAAGGCATAATTGGATCCAGCCCCCGTTGCAGAAGTGCTGGTGAAATCCCATCCACTCCCGACGACTTGAAGAGCTGGAAAGTGCCAATAGCCCACCTTATCCTTTTCTCCGTAATTATGCGTGCAGACTCAGGACGTGATGTCCTGCATTCCCACGCCACGGACCCGACATACGAAGTACTGCCTGAAAAATGCGCCTCCAGGAGGAGAAGAGCCCTTTGCTCCTCGTTCTCCGTGTAGCCGTCATCCGGCCTCCTTAAAGAAGCAGTCACTGGCACCCTGTCTCTATCCAGGGCCCTATGCAGCCTCGCAGTCGTCGGGGTCTCCGCTATGCTCCCGAAAAAGGATCTAAAGCTTCTGCGCTTAGCCCTGCGGATCTCCTTGCTGTAGGCTGTCAAGTTCATCTTGTAGTCTTCCCAAGTACCTTTACGCTTAGCCCTATTGAAAAGCCTGCGAACCCCGATCCTAAGGTTTTCCAATCGCGGGGTCCAGCAAGGTAGTCTGTGAAATCTCTTGGCACACTAATGGGGCAGTTGGATTCAAAAGCCTCGACTATAATTTCCTCGAGCTCCTCCACAGCCCATTCCAACACCAGGGGATGCCTAGCCACAGTTCTAACCGAGGCCCTCGACAGTTTTGTCTCTAGGTCCCTTCTATATCCCTCCCATTTTGTCCGCCTCGGATTTCTGAAAGAAAATTTCTCTTTCATTAACCCACCCAGACAAAACCGAATGATTCTATGATCTGACATAGAAACCTCCTCTGATAACTTTCAGTCGCGTACCAGAAACCCCACATTCGGACTGGCGAATGTGATATCCAGTACCTCCTCTCTGCCCTTAGGTGTCGCTGCTTCCCCATGCAACGTGATACGCTTTCGCATCACAGCCCATGATGAGTGGCCACCTTTTCCTATTGCACTGCTCCACTAGCCTCTGTAACAGCCGAAGCTGTCTGGCGTGGTGGACATTCACCTTGGCGACCCCGGTGCTTTCATCCCTCATTTGTTGAGTTGACTGGCAGGGTGATCTTCCGCTTTTTTTGATCATTTTCCTCCCTTTCTCGTTATTGCAAGGGGTATCATGGAGGTTAGTCTCCATTTCACTTGCAAACTGCTCCTTTTTTGTTTTGTCCGGTTGCTCCCGAACCATGACGGTGTTTTTCCGTCGTGTCTTGTCTGAGTATAAGTTTGCTGTCAAAGACAATAGAGTGATGACAATCATCAAGCTTTTCAGCAAATCAAGTATATTCTTGTCAAATATTAAAAAATTCCAACTAATACTGCTAGTCAACACTGAATTAATTTTGTCATCAATTTTAATAAAAAGTGGTTTTAAATAATAAACTTTTATTTACCTCAAAAATTTTTACTTTTCCAACTATGAAATTTTCATAATTGCTAAGATTTGATACTTAATTAGCACGATAATAAGAAAATAAAAAAAAATAAAAATTTTCTGAAATAATTAAATTGTTTTTTTTTTTTTTTTATTTTATTCATTAAAAAGAGTGTTGCACTTATATGTACGCTTGAAGGGTATTATAAATTTTGCAACTCCGATTGTAACGCTAAAAAATTATAGGGTCTGAATATATGTATATGTATATTCTTGCCCAGCATCGAATTTTGAGTCGATTTTCATCTGAGCCCACTGAGTCTAGAAAATTATTCAGAAACTAATTCTTTTAACTTCATGAAATTCTAGTTATTTTCTGAAATGATTTGAATAATTCAGAATCCTATTTGAAGCAGATGTGATCAAAACCGTACTCCACCTGTAACTGTTATACAACATTAAAAGTCTATTAGATTATTATTTTAAATAAAAATTTTTGTTTTAAAAGTATTCATTCGTCCGGGTATCACGCAGAGTTAACACGGTCAACTACATATCTATTCTCATTTTCAAATTAAATTAAATTAATTGCAATAAAAAAATGAAAGAAAAAAAGTTAGCAGTATTATTGCAAAACGTTTTAAGATTAAATGAGAAAAAAACCAAATTGATTTTTAATATATAGGTTGAAATCAAGCACTTTTCTCTTAAATTTTTAATTTTTGTAAACTTTTAATATCGGAAATAAATAGCTAAGGATAACGTGTTAAAATTCTTCTGGAATTAGGTAAAGTTTTAACCCTCTTTGTTTTATTAATAGCAACGCTAATACAACATACCGTAAAATCGGAAAAGTTATTTGCAGTTCATCTGATTTCGAAGTATATCCTTTATTCTCCCTTAGATTTTTAAAGCTTTTTTAAAATCCTAGAATTACCAAATCTAAATTGCTACTCATACAATTCCTTAAATAATAACTCCCAATGCTAAACAGGGCAGATATTAATTAACAAGCCAAAAATTAAGAATTCATTGCCTCATGAAATACACCAAACCGAATGCAAAATTTAAATTATTTTGGTGTACTAAAAATTTTAAGAATCAATTTATTTTTTCTATTTTCTTTTGCATAAATCTAAAAAAATTTTTGGAGTTGAGATCTTTCGAATTTGAAAAAATCTATAATGCATTTTGTTATACTTATGCAAAATAAAATGACTCATACTTTAACCCAATTAGTTTGTTCTGTTACCGCGCGTGGTGAAATTTAAAAAAAAAAAGTTCCATATGAAAAAATTTTAACATTTTATTGTAATTACAAATTTTAATAGCAAAAGTGTTCTATATTTTTAGAAAATAATCTCCAGTGGTATCCAGACGGCATTATCCGCCAGCATTTTAAATATAAGAATATGAAAAGAAAATATGATGAGTCAATTTTTTTGTTCTTCCTAAAGTTTTTTGTTTAGTTTTTTTACCTTTTCATAAGAAAATTAATCACTTGCGTAAAAATGACAATGTGATGACGATTTAAAAATGTATTTTAAGATTATTTTCAAAATTTGACAAAATTTATTAGCTATTATTCTGATCGCACGTCATTAAAATGAGAATGCAGAAGACATAAAAAGCGAAAAAAAAAATAAGGAATGAAAAGAATGAACCAAAATATTTAGAAATGTAAGTATAAACGGAAATTAATTTCATGTATTTAATCAAGACTAACTGTAACTCGATTCGAACCTAAATAGTTTTTGGGTAATACAAAGTGTGCAAAGCAATTGTCCAGAGAAACATTTGACAACTTTTTCTAGAACGTATACATTTTTATTCCGAAAATCAAAATAATTTCCAATTCTTGTGAAAAATTTCAAAACTTTTCTCTACACAGTATACACGCAGATCCTCTTCAGTACACAGAGAATTTTCCACAAACTCCAAGTAATGGAATTAATCATACCACTCTCTTTCTAGCTCTGCCTCCCTCTCTTCCCCTCCCTCTCAGCATCTAATCTTCTCTTAACTTTCGAATTTAGAAGTTGATATGACCACTATACCCATACTTTTTTGAAAACACAACTACAACCACTCCCATTTTAATTATTATACAAAATTTGTTATATTTAAAATATTTGTCTACTGATATTTTATTAAATAATATTGCCATCTCACTCAGAGCATATTTTCTTTTAATTTGCAATTCAATTATTTTTATAATATCACGAAATTTTAATGGTAATATAATATGAAAATACCGTAATTCTAAAAATAAATGCCCGTAATTTTTGCAGAATTCTCAAAAAGAAAAATCAATTATTTTTTATTTCTATTCCATTTCTTGCTAATTTTTTCGACCTTGGCAATTACAACTGCCACCTCCTAATCGAATCTAAGTCCCTTTGTAATAATTTCCCGTTCTCTAAACAAAACACAAAGTAATTTTGTTCTTCGTTTTTTTTTTTTAATTTTCTTTTCTTCTTGTTTTCTTCCCGTGAGATAATCACAATAAAGAAAAAATTTCAACAATAAAAAAAAATACATCAAAATAAAAAAAAAAAACAAAAAACAAACTAGAAACATAAGAAGAAAATAAAGGAAAAAACAAAAAAAAAAATTTTCTTTTATTTTGGGCTTTTTCCATTTTTTTCTTTTTTGTTATCGTTTTTATTGTTTGTTTTTGTACATTTCACAAACAAAATGAAAAAAAAAGATGAAAATGCACAGTACGGTACATCCGAATCCGAAAACATAAAAATACGTTCCCATTTTTTCTCATCAGTATTAATTCGAGTGACAATTCATTACGTTCTTATATTGCATTCTTTGAATAAAAAAAAGAATAGAAAATTTTTATTTGTTTTTTAAATTCGATTATTCGATTTTTTCGTACATTTTTCTTTTTGTTTTTGAATTTCGGTTGATTTTGATTTAATTAATTTCAAAGAAAAACAAAAAAGAACACAAAACAAAGAAAAAAAGTGAAACAGTAGTGTTAATTTATAAGTGTTGCCAATCAAAACGAAAAATTTATTCGGAAATTATTAATTTTGAATGAAGATTAAAATTTTATAAAAGATTCTCATATTAGAAAATATGAGAGCAACTTCAAGCTTAAATTAACAATAACGGTACAATAATATCAAAAAATAATAACAATAATATTAATGCAAAAAAAGAGAGAGAAACAGAATAATTGCAAATTGAGAATTTTTTGAGTTTTTCAACTCGATTTCAATTTTTTCAACACATTTTTGGATACTCAATAACGAGAACAAAAAAATTTTTTTAATTTTTTTTTTGTTCTTTTATCAGAGCCCACCTTCCCTTTTTTTGTTAACGTGTTGAATTTAATTGCCTGTTACATATATTTTTTAGCTCTGTGTTTGTAAATGCCAATAAATTAAATTAGAAAACATTAATTTTTTTTTATTGTGTAAATATTTCAAAATTTTTCGTAATTAAAAGTTGTACAGAATTTTTAATATTTCATTTATAATTCAGTGATTATTTGTATTGTGTTTCAAAATATGTTTGTGTAAATGTGTGTTTTTCTAAATAAATTTGCAAACTGTATGTATAAGTAGTATGTATACCTAAACGTCCAAAAGATATTCGAATAAATTCATTTAAAATCATTTTAAAATTTAATTCAAAATGTTTCAATAAAAATAGTTACAACAACAATAACAAACACTAATAAAAATAATGGATTAAGACAAATTAATTGTGTTGTGTGTGTGTTTTTTTTTCTTGTTGTAAAAATAAATTCAGAAAAATTTCAATGTAAAGAAGAAAATTATTTAAAAAATTTCAAAAAAAAAAAATAATTTTTTTTTTCAATTTTTTTTCTTTTTTTCGTTAATTTTTGCGTATTGCCAGAACGAAATTTTCATTGTCTCTGAAAAGAAATCATTTTATTTCACAAAAAAAAAGAAAAACAAACGAAAAACAAAGGAAAATTTTTTCAATGTTTTACAATTAAAAAAAAGAAAGAAAAAAAAATTTGTACCTTACGAAAATTTCATTTCTTTAGTGCTTTCTTATATTCTTGTAAAAAAAGCGAATTAAAAATTTATGTAAAATAAAAAATGTAAAGTGAAAATTAAATAATAATAAAAAAGAAAACAAAGTAATCAAAGAAGAAAACAGAAAACGATTCGATCATTAAAAACGCCTTTCTTTTAAAAAATAAAATAAAAATAACAAAAAAAAAAAACGTGTAGAACAGAACAATAACAAAAGAGAAAATAAAAAAAAAAATACGGTATAATAATTTGGTTATGGATTTCGGAGAGGAATGGCATTTAGCAGCACAATCGAAACCGTTAGGTGAGTTTTCACGTGCATCTTTTTTTTTGTGATTTTTCATTTTCTTTATTATTTTTAAAAAAATCAAAATATAAAAAACACTATTAAGAATTTTGGCGCCTCTTATAAAAGAAAAAAAAAATAATTTTTTTTTTGTAATTAATTTTTTTTTGAGTGATGTCATTTATTACTTAAGAAAAAATATTACGGTAAATATTCTAATTTTCCTTCTCCATCGAAATTTGCTTAAGTATTATAAATTGATCGCGTTCCTTTTAGGTGTTTATAATTGTAGCACTTCTAATCACATCAAACTAAAATAACTGAAATAAATGTGATTCAGTTGTTATTGCTAACATTGGTCCAGGTGAAATCGAGGTTATTTTTAATATATTTTGGAGCAACTTCTTACTGCATTCTATATTTATGTTTCGGCGTACTTTCTTTAAGTAAAGGGACCTCTGATTAATAAATTATATAGATATAGAGAAAGCATCTTCACTAATAAGTTACTTCATATTACACTGCGAATTAAAATGCTTTTAATTTAAAATTTACTTATCACATAGTTCTGTCATAAAATTGGTTTGATTTGTTTGTAATCGAAAAATTGATGTTGTTGATCATGCAGCTCTTATCAGATTCTGCTCTGAAAATTAAAAAAACGGAATAAATTCAAATTTGATCTTCAGTTCTTAAACTTGAAATGGGCTTCTTTTTTTTCTATCATTTGAGTATGTCATGTTTTATTTTCATATTTTTTCAAATTCGTCATGTAAAGTTTTTAAAAATACCACAAAAATTTATCATCTTCCGAAACAAAGAAACAGCATCATAACTACATTTTTTATGTATTTTTGGAGAAAACAATAATATTAAAAATCTTTTTCTCTCTTTGTATTATACGAATATAATACAAATACTTCGATTTACTCACTCTATTCTCTCATTAAGAAATATATGTGAATAAGGTGTTATACGATATTTAAAGCTTTCTCATTATTTTGCATAAAAAAAACAATTGCCTATATGCAAACTCGGTTCCGACTTGTTCGGTAGCTTACGCGGTTTCCAAAAAATAGGCAAGGCATATCAAAGCAATAAAAAATATACCATAAACTTTGCATTTTGCGCGTAATAATTGATCCAGTGTTTTCCTTGTATGTAAAGTTTACTTAATTATTTATTTTATATGGAAACAATCTGTTAAATACGTTTTTCATTAATTCTCTCAATTTGTATAATAAACTATAACTTTTTGATTCATTGACATTTTTAACAAAGAAAATTATTCATATATTTTCAATTAATTCAAATTTTCTCTCTCAGTTAATACGAAAATATTGCGATTTTCATAAACTTAGTAAACACAATATTAAATTTATAAAAAAAAATTTTTTTTGATTACTTTTTAATGTAAACAAAATATATTTTATAGTAAAAAAAAGCATTTATCTACCCACCGATTTTTGGCATTGCTATAAATAAAAATCCGAATTTCTAAGAATAAATTGTATACATATAACAAAATACTAATTGCAAATAATTAAATATTTTATGAGTTAATAGAAAAAAATGTAAACACTGTCCGGACACGCCAAATATGTTTTTGCAAACATTAATGTGAATAATGTTATACACGAATAACGTATTATGTATGATTAAAAATATGGGCTAATTTATATATGAACATATAAAAAAAAATTCCTTTAAACCTCAAATGGCGAATTGTACACTCTGTACTGTATAATAATTTGGAATGTAGTTAGAAAAAAACTGTGAGCTTGAAGAGGGTTAGTTACACAAACATTTTATCTTTGTGAGGCTCCTTATAATATGAAATATATTTTCCTCCTTTTATTGAATTCTTCTACCAGAAACTCCACTGACTTCAGTTTTTCGGAACCCATCGAAATTCTGGACTTTGTCATCCAATTTTAGTAATATAAATATTGAAACTTTTCTTTTCTTTCACCTGATGCATCAATTTAAAATTGTTATTTGCATTGCAAATAAAAAGAACAATAATTACGCATGGTTGTCAAGTTTACTTTATTGTAAAATAATTAAAGTGATAATTATAGCCAAAAAAAAAATTATCTAAAAATAATTAAGAATAGTTTTTTTTTTGCTATTATTTTTTAAAAAACATTTTTTATTAAGCATTTTAAAACTATTTTCATATTAAATCGAAAAATTTGGTGTTGCCAACCTCTTTCGATATTAAAAAATAATCGTGATTTCTATATAACACTTTTAATTTTTTTTTCTAAAACTTCAGAATTCTAAATTTCTCAGAATATTTCCTAACTCTTTAAAATTCAATTTAGAAAATTTATGTTTAAAGCCGAATTTTGAAATATTTGAAATGAATTGGATTTAAAAAGTTGATCGAGAACTATTAAATTTTATATCTAGTTCCTTACATATAATAATTATATATACATATGTATATACACACACGTATTATATTTACATACTGCAACACATGCATATGTTCACCTAAAAACCTATAAAAATTTTTTATTGTACAGAGAGTGTAAACGAACTTAAGTTCCTTGTAACAATAATTTTTAACCTCGTCATACAATCAGAGAAAATAAGAATGTTTGGTTTCTATTTATAGGACATTTTTTAAATAGTATGTTAAAATAAAGACAAAAAAATAAAATAAAAATAAAATACAAACAAAAAAATAAATAAAAAAAAAATTAGTTCATAATGTGTGTGTTTGATCTCAAAGCTAATTTTCTTCTTTAAAATTTACAATCAAACAAATAAAATAAAAAAAAACAATAAAAAATAAATTAAAAATACAAAATTCTCAGATGTGTAGCGAAACATTACGTATGTATGTATGTATGTATGTACATTTTACCGCCGTACATACAATGCTTGTGAAATTACATAAAAAATTTTCAAGATGACTGAATAAAAAATATTACAAAAATCAGCTGATCAGGGGAACATAAATTTCAGATAACATTTTTCTTCTTAAAAAAAATTTTTTTTTTTTTTTTTGAAAAAAATTTTTATTATTAAAAAAATTTATTCAGATATTTTTTTGTTTCCGGTCAAGAAAAAAAAAATTAATTTTTTTACACAACACTCACGAATTCGGAGTAACGTTACGTTCTTGTATTCCGGTTGTTAAATTTAAAATATAAAAAAATTATGATGAAAATACAAAATGAAACAAAAATAAATAAAGAAAAAACAAAAATAAAAACAAAAGAAGAAAATTTTTTTTAATTTTTTATGTCTTTTTTTGACAGCCAAATATACAAAATACCAGCAAAATAACATCGAAAACCTTGAATTTTGCGTTTGTTTTTTTGGTTTTTTGTTTTTTTTTTCATTTTGTATATTTTGTACACTTACACGTAATTATTGAACTTTTCAGAAATTATTGCATAGCTTTCCGTATATATTCACGAATTTTTGACAAAACATTTAATACAAAGACGAAAAAAGAATTTCTATTTAAACTGTTATACAAAATTTTAAAACTGTTATACAAAATTTCGAAACTGTTATACAGAAAGAATATCATTGGAATTTTGATAATGGTTGTGGTGATGCACATCATTTTTTTTTATTTAAAATAAAATAAAATATACAAGCAGATGATTAAAGAAAAAAAAAATAAATGTTGAGGTGTAGGGGGAAAATTTAAAAATAAAATAAAAGCAATATTATTGTTGCATATTTTAATGACAACTATATGTAATATGGTAACAATATAAATTAGTTAATGACAGTAACGATACGGCGTTCAAACTAACTAATGTAATCGTTGTTTATTAAAAAAATAGTAAGCGAACGAGTTTATATATTATTGATTTTACGGAATTCCATAAACGCCATTCTTAAAATTGTACTAATTTTGTATAATTATTAAAGAAGTGCGAAAAAAATAGTTGAAAATGCAAAAAATATTAAAGCCATTTTACAAATGTTTAGGTGAGTTCTAAAATCAAATGTTTGAAAAAAAATTAAAACGAAAAAGAATTATATATTAAACATATTGTGTCAATCAGGAAAAACAGTTCAATATTGCAATATCTATTAACCTACCTACATTCTTTTGTAATCAAACCTGAATATTTTTCGATAAAATCGATAGATTTTCAAGCGTTTGTGTAACTCATTTCACAGAGTTTAATTACAAGTAACTTTGCTGGGATAAAATGCAGATTGCAGCAAAAATAGCTTGAAAATTAACTTTCTCAAAATCACAATAATGATTATCGTAATTCTTGTACAATATTCCCTGTCACATAATTCAGACACATGATACGTTACACACATTTCTTATTTATATTTGTAATTGTTCAGAATACAAAAATAATTATTTAATTTATTTACAAAGGTGTACATTAAGCAATCAGTTTTTGTTTAACACAAAAAAAATTTATCTTGCATTTCTGCATTATTGAAAACAAAAATTCTTTCCAAATTGTTCTGTTAAAAAATTTTTTGTGTAAATTATAAAATAATACAATATTTAAAATATTTTTTTAATTAAAAACGAATGCCTATATACTTATTATTGAACTATAATAAACTCATTTAACAAGCATAAATTGGCCTCAATTAACAATTTACATTGTACACATTTATAGAATACACGTAAAATAATTAAAATACATACATTCAGAAGCCCATATCAACCTGCTATTATCAGAAATACAAAAGTCAACTTGATTTTATAATGTAAAATTGTATTTATTTAACAGGCATGAAAGAAAAATATGTAATTAAAAAAATAATTGTGATAATAAGAAGAACATTCCTTTTATTCTGATATACATGCTATTGTTTACTTTGTGCATTGAATACATGCATTGCACAAAATACATAAAGTCTTTATCTTCTGCCTTTTCCGCTGCTCGATTAACACTTATTATCCTTTTAGTTTTTGGTAAAAATTTAATTCGTAAAACGGCATGAAATTAAAAAGAAATACAATCGGACGGATTTCATTATTAAAAAAAATATCCAGCAAATACGTGATTAAC